CGCTGGAGCGCCGTGGTCCTAAGTGATGTCTGGCGGCCGAAGGTGGGGAAAAGGGACATGTTCGAGTGGTGCTTGGACAGCCGCGAGAACCTAGACGCACGTGTGCGTGTTCGAGTGGAAGTAGGTCAAGTCTCTATAGGTCAGCGTTTCTGTAAGCGCTGACTGAGGCAGGATGACTGGATGACCTTGAGGCAGCTGACCTTGAACAATGACGCCGGACAAAGCAATGGAGGGCGTCGGCCGGCCTCGACCACTACAGTCCAGTTCAACATCGGTTGTTTCTTTCAGCTTCCATCCTGAATCGGATATTTGGATCAACCGAGTTCAGTAAATCTTTGAGGTGCTCGATGTCAGATGTTTTGACAGTGACGAATGTGTCATCGACATAACGAGTCTAAAACTTCGGTTGATACTTCGCGAGTACCAAGTGTCCAATGAGGTGCCGTAAGAGACCGTGCACTTTGAAACATGTGAATGGGAGCACGTAAACGGCCGCAAAAAAGGTAATCTAAAGTTATTGGTTAAAGTAGGCCAGATTGGCTAAGGCGGTATATGACAGGCAAACTTAATTCTGACCCTAACCCTTCATTAAACCTTTTTTTTAGCCTAACCCGAACTTTACATTTAAGCCCAACCTCAGCCCTATATAAAATCCTTTTCGCAAGTTAAACCGTGAGCGTAACCCTAATAAATTATGCCAACATAAACCGAAGAATTAGGTGTGCAATATTAATAATACCCAGAGTTGCACATTCGGTCGGTACTGGACATTCGGAAGGCCCAGGGAGAAAACCATACGAAAAGCATACGGTAACATCTTCTATTAATTTTCTTCGCTCCTTCGGTCACAATTATTCACCCAGATACCCATTTCGAGATGGCGGTAAATTGGTTACCTTCTCATCTCCATCTCAGCTGTTCTCTAAACCTTTTTACTACATCTTAAATATTACCCCATTTTCCAGCTGAGAATGGAAAGTCAAGACTAGCTGGAAAGTCAATAACTCGCTCAGCTTCCGCTGAAACAACCTACCGCATCGTTATTAGTGCTGAGTAGTCCTCTGTGCGATTTCTTTTCATGCCGGTTCCACTGCAGCCCTGCCTCCACAAAGCTTTTCTGGT